GGGAAATGATATGATATGGGTTCCCACTCAACTTTATTTGCACTCAATAATTTACAGCAAGAGAGACAGACTGTATAAATATTTAATCACAATTTACTCAATATTATTATTATTTATTATATTGGTGAATAAAAAAAATTAAATAAATAAAATATAAAAAATACTATTATATATTATTAAAATTATATTGGTAGACAATATTTTTTGCTTTATAGGCACATAATCATCCTCGTAAACTAATATTTTCAAACTCTTCGATTAGTGACACGAGAAACAACTACGTACAACTGGCGAACACCGGCATCTTCAATAACATATCAACATGTGATAAGGACTGACTCTGACTTTTGTTAATCATCATGGCATAAGAAACATTATGGAAATTGTCTCCGGTGAAATTTGAAATGTACTTTAACGTCGGAAGGTGTTAGTCATCCGAGGTATCAGCTCCTTCTCTCCTACATTATCCAGCCAATACCTTACATTCAAGCACATGAGTGGAAAGCTTTGTGGCATGTCATCTCGTACCATTGAACAACCTCATAGAATGGCCAATGTTCCGCAACAAAATGACTAGGGTTCTTATCATAAGATTCAACTTATGGTACGACACTCTATAACATCTTATAGTATTCAATGACTCGGAGGTGTCGAGCGAACAAATATCATTATTGAATCAGATTTGCATGTACTATCAAAGCTCATGTATGTTTGACCATCAGTCACGTTCAAATACGTCATGTACTCATTGATAAACTCAACCACTTCCAATGTTGGGGCTAGTATAGCCCTATCCGTCAAATAATTGGGATCATCTGTTGCATTCTTAAACATTGGATAGGTGCTTTGAACAATTGCAGCGATAGGATCATAAGCGGGTATGTCTATCAAGGCACGTCCATCATTGAATCCCCCAATGGTTCCATTCTGATGCTCGCTATCCAATTAGCAAAAACAGTCAGCTCCTCGCGTTCATCTGAATCATCAATGTTCTGATGACGCATTTTGTAAGCCTTAACACAGTAGAGTCAGCCCATATGTCGGAAGAATTAATTGCAACATCCACAATATCCTAACAACTCCTCTTTGAAATAACCGGGAGGGTATGTCAGAAGTCCTCATCATGAAATATGATTTTCAAGTAATTCGTATACTCAACCTCAAATAGTGTTCAATTATTCGAATCATGCGTAACTTCATCGGTAGTTTCTTAGTTCTAGTGACATTCTTGATCAGACTGAATTCGCACTTTATGTTGGATTGATTTAAACAAGTATAAGTTGTGTATTTGTGTAATAAAAACTTAAATTGAAAGCACGATAAGTAGACAACATCGATCTACACTAAATCGGTAGTTTCTTAGTTCTAGTGACATTCTTGATCAGACCGAATTCGCACTTTATGTTGGATTGAATTAAACAAGTATAAGTTGTGTATTTGTGTAATAAAAAATTAAATTGAAAGCACGATAAGTAGACAACATCGATCTACACTAAATTTATAGGGGAAGAATAAAAAAGTATACTTGAGATAAATTCCATAAATATATGATATGAATATTTTAACAAAGCAATAAATAGCATATGATTCATGTGAATTTCTAAATGTGTGTAAATAACACTTATTCTATTTTTTAATGACAAGGATTTTCTCTTTAATTCACAATCAATATGATGCTATTATATTTTTCCTAATTTGTTTATTTATATATTATCAATTGGTGAGTTGCAATGTGATTATATAATATTTGATTTTGATATTTTTTGGCAATTATATTTTGGTTATTTGTTAATCTTTAATAATTTGATTATATCAGCCATATTGAATCAAATCGACACTATCGAATTTTCTCTTTGTAAATCTCGCATATTTTTAGTTGTTTCATCAATTTGGCCACTGCGAAAGAAAAATTGTGAAAGTTTTTTTGTCAAAAAAAAATTGTGAAAGTTTTTTTGTCAAAGAATAATTAATACATTATACAATGCCATTTTATAAGTTCTCTTTGGAATATTGACTGCCAGTCTAATCATTTAAACCAAAAAATATCGGTCATATTATTCTTCAGATTTCTCTTACAAAAAATATTGAATCCAAAGCTTACAAATAAAAAATAATAAATAAAAAAAATTAGACACGCATTTATTATAAAATAATCAGTCATGTCATTGGAATCAACACGAAACTTCAAAATTCATCAAAATAATTTCAGAGTCGTTGAATCTTTTCCTCGAACTTGGGCAACAAAAGACTGCTTCTTGAAGGCATAACTCAGCGTGTGATTCAGAGAACATGCAATTTCTGGCCACAAGGAATTGAACCCAGGGCGTCGGTGTATGTCTGCCTTCTCACGACACTTCTTGAAAAACACTCGGTAGCAAGCATCTTCTTCACCTTCGATCCACTCCATGCCACGGAAGCGGACTGCGATCTGCTTATTGCGTGAAATTCTATTCATTTTTTTTTCTGAAATCGTGCTTAGTTTTTATTTTAATTTTTTTTTTCGATTGATAAATAATTGTACTCTTGCTAGTGCTTTTTTTATTTGTTTTTGGTTTCGAGAAGTAAAAAGTTAGTAATAAATGAGTAGTAATAATGGTGGTATATATACATGCCATTTGTCTAATCGTTTATGTGAAAAATCATACAATCAAATCAGTGCGTAAACTATGTGAATAAAATGTCGAAGAGTACTAAATTATACGACTTTTCGATTTGGATGTACGATTCTTAAATATGCTAACATATTACGCATAATCGTTAATACATGACGATATAGAGCTATATATGCAACTAGTAAACTATACAAAAAATTGTTGCATAATCATTAAATTATTCGACATTTGATTTGGATATGCAAAACGTTATCGCATATGGTAAATTAAGCGGTAGATTTAGATATCAAAAACGTAAATATTCAAACAAAATGTCACACAACATAAAATATACGACGTTCGATTTGATATACAGTTATTGAATATGCGAAACGATAACACATATGGTAAATTAAGCGGTGAATATGGATATGTGAGACATAAACTATGCGATAACATGTCGTATAACATAAAATATACGATATTGGATTTGGATATTCGATTATTGAATGCACAAAACGTCTAGCATATTGTATATTATGCTATGGAACTGGATATGTGAGTGGTAAACTATGCGAAAACATATCGCATAACATAAAATATGCGATGTTGGATTTAGATATTCAATTCTTGAGTATACAAAAACTTCTCGCATATGGTAACTTATGCGGTGGATTTAGATGTGCGAGTCGTAAACTACGCGAAAACTTGTCACGTAACATAAATATGCGACGTTAGATTTGGATATTAGATTATTGAATATACGAAACCTTCTCATATATGGTAAATTATGCTGTGGATTTGGATATGCGAGTTGTATACTATGTGAAAACATGTCGTACAACATAAAATATGAGACGTTGGATTTAGATATTCGATTCTTGAATATACGAAGACTTCTTATATATGGTAAATTATGCAGTGGATTTGTATATGCAAGTCGTTAACTATGCGAAAACTTGTCGCATAACATAAAATATGCGATGTTGGTTTGATTCTTGAACATACCAAAACTTCTTGCATGTGGTAAATTATGGTGCAAACTATGCGCAAATATGTCGCATAACAT